ACAACTTTAAAATGATAAACACTCACAAAAGAATTTTAAAATGTATTAAATATATTAAAGGCTTTACCAACCATCACCACTAAAGGCAAAAAACTATTCCTCCCAAGAACCACAGGTCAAATCCTGTTGTCCTTAATCCTGACTCCACTGAACTTCTGTTGGTTTCAGTAGGAGTTTGCCTGAGAAAGGGCTCGATGAGAACACCTAAACCACATTAGTATTTGCCCAACTGATAGTAAAGGTATGTGTTTATACACAGAAATCCTCTCTTCTGCATGTCTGCCCAAATGTCCTTCAACTTGGTTAGTGGGAGAATTAGCCTTAGAATCAAATCACATTGTGGTGTTGGGAGGAGAAAGACAAAGTAATTTAATTTAGTTTCGGAAAATGCACCTAGAAAAATGCAGAGGCCCTCAAAAAGCATATTTCAGGGGACAAAAAAACTGTTAAAGCAACAGGAAACTAGAACACAAATTTGAGGACACTGCCTGATGTGAACAGCCTGTTTTGTCACAAGCAGTGAGGCCCCAAGCCTGCAAATTCTTTCACATTCTTCCACATTTCTCAACGGGAGCCTTGCACATTATAATTTGCAAAACACAAGTGTAAGTCTTTGCAGAATCAAGGTCTAAGCTCATTAAAGCTTTTGCAATCAAGCAAATAGCACATGAACATATTTATAAGACTTAAATCTATTTTGTATGAAATACATCTAAGGGCTGACAGCCTCAGTTGTGATAAAGGGTACTACTGTAGGGATGTATAGTCTCATACAGGTTTTCTGTACAGTGGTGAATTTTGCCTACTTTATATAGCTCAGGATGCTCAGGTTACCCCCCAATATAGGCACTTTGTAAAGCCCTTTGAAAATAATCTGCACTTTATGACCGCAGATATAATTCTGCCTATAAACTATATTGTGTATTTTATCTTAACAAACTTCCTTGTCGCACCTGAAGTTACTGCATAGCCCACCTGTGTTACTTCCCTCCCATCACCCCCAAATAAATTTAAGGAATAAAAGCCTAACTACATAACTGATGCCATATTACCAGTACAGTCCCCTGCCCTTTATTGCCACGACACTTTATTAGCAGATAAATTAGGGAAACCTCAATGAATGGTGACAGTCATGAATACAATTACTTTTACTATCCACTAAAAACAAAATGAATGTTTAAAATGATGATTACCTACAGGATAGTAGCCAGTGAAATCTACAGTACCATGTACTATTTTCCATCTATTGCAGAATTAGTAATACAGTTATAATATCAAACAGAGAGAACCTTGGTAAATAAGGAATATGCAAACATTTTTTGTATTTTCAACTTCTTGGGGGGGGAACAACTATTTGAATATGATTTGGCTTACATTCCATACAACCTATTAATAAAAAACTATATCCAAAGTCATCTAAAGCATTTACTATTGCTTTCTTTCTTCAAAAATAAAAAAATATGTATCTCTGACAATGAAGATTATTATATGGAAATATTATTTTATTTGTCTGGAGCTGAATAATTTACAATCAACATTAATGGTGTTAAAAAAATTAAAAAGCAGTATGTGGACTTAAGTTTGATCCCACAGCATTCATTTCTGGGAAATATAGAAATGCATGTGTACACACGCAGACAAGTTCAGTATATGAACTTTTGCTCATAGCATTTCTCACATGTTTCCACATGGACATCTCTCATGTGTAAGAAGTTGTGTGGCTGCCCTTTATATAGCCTGACCCTGAAAAAAAATCCCATTAAGGTCAACAGAAATTCAGAACAGCCAGTACCTTGCAGGATTGGGCCTGCACTGGATATGAGACATAACATGTATATTTTAGTTGATGCTTACTATAATATTACTCTGCACTGTAATATTATAGTAATATATTACACTAGCACTGATAAAGGCACCCCATTAACTAGACAAACATAAATTTTCTTTTTACATTGAAGAAGGAAGAAAACTGAGGAGACTTGGTGATGTTACTTTAACATGAAATTAAGTCAACTAAAACAAAACATGGTTTCTAGTAATACATTTTCTTCTGAGCCTCCCTTAACAACATTTGTACAATCATATGTTCCTCTTTTTAATTTCTTTGTTTCTTCCCTATTGCTGTGGAAATACTGACACAAACAAAAGGGAAAACTCTACAAAGTGCTATCAAATACACAAATTAAATAAGTTGGAAAAATGGATCTATTCATCTCTAAACTATTTTAATTGTAAAAATCTTTGATAATTGTAGTAGGTAGCATTTTCTTTCAGACAGAAATTTGATTAGTTAAAAGATAGTATCCCTTTAAAGTCAAATTCCAGTGCAATAAAACATTCTCTAATTGCTGCATCACATTACAAAGACTAAACTACTAAGGACTGAGGTCAGTCCTTCCCCTGTCCTCTCCCCCCATACAGACATCCCCCCAACAATGAAGTTTGGTACATGAAAGGAAAGGAGTCTTTCCTTCCATCACATAAAAGCAGCAGAGCTTGAGGTTGCGATAGTTTTTGACTCCTGTTTCAAAAAACAGATATCTGTAGTTGTAAAGCAATGAAATAACTAGTTTCTGTATCCTACACACAAACCTCTTTATACAGGGATGTGTAAAGAATTGCTAGAAAGCTGTGGTTAACCGTGCTGGAGGGGCATTCCACATAGAAAGGCTTCCCCTACTTTGCCTCTCTTGTCCAAATAGGAGCACCCCTGCTTTATTGCATCTGCAGCAGGCCCTGTACAAGAGGGCCCTCTAACTACTATTTAAAATATAATTAAAAAAACATAACAGGAAACTGCTATCTTGATAAGTGGTGCTGCCTGCATAGGGCATCAAGTGTCGTATTTTCTAATTCAAATAATTTGGCAATATGAGATTTTCAAGATGTTTTGAGTAACATTTTAGGGATTATGGCAGGTTGGATATTTATTTACTTACTAATCAGAACAGTCCTAGTGAGAGTTTATACTATAAATTTTATAAATATCAGGGGCACTATTCTGCAGTCTCTCCACCCACCAAGCTCAGACTGATTCACTAGGACAGGATGGACAATCCAGATTAAAATAGGTTTTACACACTTTTTGCAGCATCAGTGATGAATTAGACATAAATTCATTTTAGTTTCCTATTATATTATTACAGTTTCACCTACAGTTTGTAGAAACAAATACAAAGAGTACAAAGTCAACTTTCTACTGTTTGAACCACTTTATAGTAACATCTTCAAAGTTGTGATAAAGGATTTGCCACTGAAGCCAACCACCCTCTAGTTTCTTTACCCAAATAAAAATGTTTTATAATGCAAAGCTATCCCACAGAGTTACCTGTATTTGAAAACATGCTTCAGAAAAAAGGTAAGCAGACTTTTGAACTTTGATATCTATATTGCTGAAAGTTAATAGTAAAAGCTGTTACCTAGCACATTCGTCCCACTGAAAATATCAGAATTTCACCCATTTGCAGTAGGGCTAAATTTGGCCTCATATATTGTACAACCTTGGTTGGGTAGTTTGCTTTTCAGACATTGTCATCATATCTTTCAGGCATCTTTAGCCTTACTCTTTCCTTACCATACACTTAACATTGATGATTAGCTTCCCTGTGGTTTCCCCCATAGAAACATCCCATGCTACAATGTGAACACAAATTTTTAAGACAATCAACAACCGTTAATAGCTTTACCCCAAGGCTTGGTGAGAGGTAGTATTTTTCCTTCCCACAGGCTTCCCTTAGAGAAATGTGTGTAACAAATTAGGCTCTTGCCTTCTAACACTTCCTCTAGAGACTTCCCTAGAGTCACAACAGTAACCAAGCACCTTCTGGTTAAGAAATGTAAGCGACAACATCTATCCTTAATGACCAGTAGAGGCCACTAGGTGCAAAAGCAACAACCCATCCTTCCCTCTGTTCCAGTTTCTGCAAGATGTTCTCAGCCCAATCCAAACCACGAAACAAAGAATCAATCTCAAAATTAAAATCTATTTCCCTATATATTATCAATGCCTTTCTTAATTTTCTACTAAAAAGCATTTTCTACCAAGGCACCCACCAAGATTTCTCTCTTTTAGTTGCTTGCCAGAATTGGGATTTACTTTTATTTAAAACCAGAAGCAAGAATCAAATGCTGCTAACAAGACAAAGGGAGAGACATAAGTATAACTGTAATTGTCCTTCTGCTCTGAGAATTCTAGATGTAAAAATAAAAAATAGATTTTTAATATTAGCTAGCATAACACTCAAGATAGCCATCAAAACTGCATTTCCTGGGATTTTACTTTACAAGGCAAAGCAGAGACTTTTCCCAGCAAAGTATACTTCAGCAATACTGTAAGAATGCCTATCTATACTAGTCAATGGCAGCATTTAGGACACCCTTTATTTACTACAGGAAACTTATTTTTAATTAGTAAAAACCCATTTTTGCAAACTAACTCCACATTTTGATATCCTCCTTAAGCAATAAGTGATGCCTGTGTTATTTATTTCTGCACATACACAAAAAGTGGTTATGTACCTTTGATAGGTAATACAAATTTTTGCTTCTGCATTGAAAAGAACAGTAACAATTGCTTATATGCAAGTTCATTATTTGCCCTGCCCTATAATCATGACCTGCTTCCCTATACAAGATGGCTTTGGAACGAGTGTACCCATGTGTACTGGACTGTCAATGTAGGATTGCTTGTGGCAGCCTCCTCTTCTGACACTGATATTTTGTTTAAGGATCAGCAAAGTATTTGTTTTGGTGTAGGAAAAAAAATCTCAATATTTTGCAAACAGGTACATTTCACATTTGAGTGCTATCAGCAAAACTGAATATAAGCCTAAATATGGCTTTTAAATAAAAGCTTGGCCACTTTGCTTTCCCATCCCTCTTGTCTTTCTGCAAGGAAACCTGGCACTATATGCCCTGGTTTTCTAAACAAGAAGCAAGAAGCACCTCCTTTCCCGCCCAATAAATTCAGATCCCATATGTGATGAAGAAAGAAAAAAAAATTAGCAATGAAGGCAGAAGATTTTATTTACGCTGATTTAAGCACTAATAAGGCATTCAAGGTAAAGTTCTGGCTCTGCTGAAGTCAATGGCAAAATTCTTACTGAATTCAGTAGCACCGAGGTATCACTCCAAGAATAATGATATACCCATTATGTCCTAGTTTCTACAGGCAAATGGCACCAGTTTTGCATTTGATTTTTTTTAGCACTTGGAGCAACATTGAAAAAGAAAAAAAATAAGTACATTAAGCAAAAAAATCTTAAATACCCTTTCAAAAAGTTGTTAAGGCTCATAAGCATATTAGTAGCCTTAATTATCCTTGCCTACTAACTGGCAAGTATAAGTAAATATTTCGTTACCATTTTCATATAAATATATGATATTCTACTTTGTAAAAAGTGTTTGATTCATGCCATTGACATTGCAAAATATTTTTTAGTCCTGCTTTCAATCTATCATCATGGGAGTTACTTGCAAAAAAATAAGATATTTAATACTATAATGATAGAAGGCTGAAATTGTTCAAAGAATATACTCTGACCAAAATATTTTAACGGGCATAAGGATAACAAGAACATATGAAAGGCACTTGTTTTCACCACACAATGAAAAGTGATCAGAGCCCTTTTCTCTGTTTTCAATTTTTTTTATACATTGTGATTGCCAACTGCTATTATATGATGGTACAAACAAAACATTCCACAATGTTAGCGTATCAAAGTGTACTTCCCTTTGGAAGGTTTTTTATCATCTTATCTTCCTTGTATTTTTATTTGAGATATCAGTTATCATTGAAGGAGAAGTTCATGTTACTGAGTATAAAGGAACCAAGATGGCTCAGCAGCTAGTCCAACATATCAGCCACATGGTGGTAGACACTTTCAAAATATGGGAAAATAAATTGTTAATCTGTTGGCAGAAAATGCTTGACAATTCCATTCAGCAACTATATTCAGTCACAGTTTGCTATTTTAAAAGACATCCATGCTAAGGTTGTTGACAAAAATTAACATTCACTTGTCCTTTCATTTATAATAAACTGAGCACTTTCACTTGCATTTTCATTTTCATCTGCTTCTTCCACTGGTCTTTTTTCTTGTAATCCACTATTTTCTGAGCAAGAATCTTCATCTCCCTCATCTCTATGGAGACCTTCAATACTGTGTCTGACACCATAACCAAAGTAAATAAGGAAGCCTTTCAAAAAGGAGGGAAAAAGAAAAAGTTAATAGGTTTTGAGGCACATGGTGCATTAAAGCAGTTGCTTCTGGCTTTTTGGATAACCGTCACTTGTTAGAACAGTTCCCTGGTATGCAAACTACTGATGGTATTCAAGCCTTCATATGCAGGGAAACGTTGGAGTACTACATGTACAAAAGCACCAGTTCAGGACCCCAGTGCATCACTTCTATCGCCCAGTTCCTTGCATGTGCTTTTATTTGTAATGCTAACACTGAGAATGCATCTCATTTATGACTGCAATGCAAGTTTGCAGCACCCTGACAATTACTTCATTTAATACACTTTACATTGTAAGTTACAGGAGAATAAGTGATAAAGTAGGAAGAGGAGGGTTTACACATGCTTCTGTCTACATTTTCAGTTGTATCTGTTACAAAAGCTGATTTTAGATGTTTCCTCCCTAGGTTTCTTTTTCCTTGCCCAATTACCGTATTTGCTCAACTCTAAGATGATCCCCCCAATAATTAGATTACATACATGGAGGGTGGTCTTTAATTAATGCCTTCCACTGCTGCAGGGAACAGGCAGTCAGGAGGTAGGTGGTGTGGGGAGGTTGAGCAGCTTGCCCCCTGCTTGTGCCTGCCCTGTTACCTCTTCCCCCTACCTGCCCCTCTCCTTCCCTGCCCCCCCAACAGCCTTGGATACCCCCTTCCCCTCCAGCCTCTGCGGTGAAAGGGCTGGGCTTGGTGCCCGAGGAGGCAGCATGCACGGAGCCTGCCAACACAGAGCAGCTTGAAGCAGTTTGCACGGGCCCGTCCATTTTTGATCTCCTACCATTACCCCCACCCTAGCTAAAATGTCCACAGAACTTTGACATGGCAGCCACTTTCAGCTTTCATTTTGTATTTACAGATCAAAAACTGGGAATATCAGATACTCCCTGTTTTGATGTTATAACTAAACCAAATGCATTACCCCTAAAACAGTACAAGCAGTACAACTTTACCAAACTCATTCTCAGTGTTTCTCTAAGGTGATCTATACATACTCAGACCTAAAGCTTAAAAGGCTTCTGTTTGTAAGGACTCTGTAGGCAACTGGAATTTGTTCTTTAATTTTACTCATCTTGCTACTTCACAATTGTCTGTGCATCAGATATATACACCTTTTGAGAAATGCTCTTTTTAACTTGTAATATCCTTTGATATTTATTCAAAGAAAACCTTTTCTTTAAATATTTAAAGGAAGAAAAATAAATGGAAACACGTGACAGACTCAACAACTGATTGTTATAAGTAAGTGCCTACCAAGGGTCATCCAGATGCTAAACCTGATCCAGGTATCTCCGCTTAATTGTACCATCAAGTAAATATTCACCAGGATACTGAGAGCTGGCAAAAATGGCAAGAGTGGAACCTAAAGAAAAATGTTTTATAAATCAATGTTGTTTTCAAGTCTTTCTGCAAAGTATGTATCACATTTCAGTTTTATAACACAAATCAGGGATTGACAAATTCATTCACCTTATGAAGACTAAGAAATGTTTTCTATTATGAGGTAAATTACCAGTTTCTGCAAACCATAAATTTCCAGTGTTTCCTATAGATAAAACATAGTCTTACCTATATAAGACCGTGGAAAAAATTCTTTGCAATTTGTATTGAATCCATTCCAATGAATTCCTGAATTGAATATAGACAAGCAATTTGAAACTATATTTACTTCACTGATTTGAATTTATAGTTAGCAGGTCTCAGAATACTTTAAACATAATTGAAAAGGATAACACACCTTAATAAAAAGCAGTTTAATTAAAGCAGTTGCTCCTGGCTCAGTAAAAAAGCATGCGTTCCAAACTGCCCCCAAACACCTTGCACTATCTTCATCACATCACTCAAATTCTACCCCTTCACATTTCCTAAATGAAGTGGGGGAAATAGGCCTTGCAGAACATGGGAAAAGCTAATAAATTAACGCTCTGAGGAACGTGAAATGCCTGAGCCATGACACACAGCACAAGAAACTTAGTTTTATGCTAAACTGCTCCTCCAGGTCCACGAGAAAGGAACCTTTCTTTTATAGAAAACTACTCTACAGCAGTTGGAGCCAGACTACATCTACTAGGGCTAAAGCAGCCAGCCCCTGTGCCAATAGGCTCAAGGTCTTCTAGTGTTAGGGAATATCTTGTAGATCTGTGTACTGCAGATTCATTTACCTTGACAAAGCCAGTACATAAATTCTTATTAATCAGTGGTATGCACAGAGGCACTGAGAAGGTCTAGGCCATACAGAGGTAAAAATGCCTCTGCCAAACTACTTCAGCACTTCCATTGTTGCTGTTACTAGTGGGGCTATATTAATTGGATTTTAATGATAAGAATCTGTGTGAAAAAAGAAAAACATGGACAGATACACACACACACACAACTGACATTATTTCCATTTATTATTTTATTCACCAGAAAGGCCACTTGCTGCTGGCTCTGAGGCTGTCTCCAGATGATGAGAACAGTGACAATGAAAAGTAGCGCTAATACAGCAAGAAGAGCCATACTCCAGACCTCCATATTGGCAATAGAATTAATCCCGTATGTGCTCAGAATGCTCAAGCCACAAACCAGAAAAGCTGTATAAAAAAAAGAAAATGGAAAATCAAAAGCAAAATGCAAGGAGGTAACCTTTCAAAAATATCTCCTTTTAAAAAATGCGGCTTCATCTAATATAGCAGCATCTAATTAGCAACAGAGTAAACATCAAATGGTAAAAAAATAATTCGGTAAGAAAATTAGGGGAAAAATTAGATTACAGAACAAAATCCATAAAGAGTGAGCTAGAAAAATATTTTTCCACCAGAAAAATTCACATCTGACATTTCTAAGAAAGCAATGTAGGAAGTTTTAATTGGATTTGATTTTTTTCTGCTACATTAAATTCTGCTATTTATAAATGTTTATGTAACTATATTGTACTTACTTGTACATCTGTTGACTTACCTAAGAGACCCACCAAACAATTGACAGTGGTAGCTGATTGCTCTGTAGGCAGACTGGATGGATTAATCAGTGTTTGAAGACTGAAGCGGTTCCTTTGTAGCATATTAACCTGTGATTCACTTATTGTAGATTCCCTTTCTGATCCTGGCAGAACCTCTTTCTCTGGACAATACTTTGGTTGCTCGTAGGTTAAACTGGGTTGGTACCTATCCATAAATAGATATGTATACAAGCTCATGACGGAGGTAGAAATAGGATAGCCCTGAATACTGCATCAATTTCCATCTTCCCTTTTTTTTAATAAATCCCCAGTGAGTCTATTCTACAATAGTAGCTATATAAGCAAGAAAATTCTAAACCTCCTTTCATGTATTGCCAGTAGTAGAGGGGAAGATTGTGCAATTATCTTTCAGAAACTAAATCTCAAGTATTTTTTGGATTTGACCAGTTCCTACATTAGAATATAACATTAGTACATAAACACATCCATTCTTAATATGCTCTTTGGATTACATCTCTGGTAATCATTACATTAACATTAATTACATTACAATAATTACATATGCATTAACATTTAGATGAGTAGACCTAGTTTTATAAGATGTACATACCTAGCAAAAAAATTACACGAACTGCTATGGTAGTTATATATTCTGAACAAGACAAATTTTAAGATAGCAGAACAAAGTGGGGTGGTAGTGACTCACCTAAGAATAAGAACACAGGCTGCTACCAGTGAGTATGCAAGAAGTGTACCAATAGACATCATATCCACTAGAGCCTTGAGGTCAAAAAGAAATGCCATAACAGCTAAAACAGAGAAAGGAGAAATACAGAAGTTGTGTGAAGCTGGTATACTAAGAGCTTATATTTTAAAGTCAGCCTCAACAGTGCATATACAATGTTTTTACCTAGTTGTTTTTAGTAATAATTATACAATAAAATCCTGATAATACACCGAACTGTGTTTTAAAAGTAAAGGTCATCATTTTCAAATTAACTGCTTAGAGCTGGGTTCCTGAAATGATAGACAATGATGAGCTGTAGAGTCTTGCATCTACATTCAGGAAGTGTAGCCTCAAAATAGTAGGCAATATCAAAAAACACTCATTCCTATCCAAACCATCCCATACAAACCGTAATCTAAACTCTGCATAAGACTACTGTCAACCCAGTAGCTGTTTTTTTTTGTTTTTTGACATTGCCTAATGATCCTTCCCTAGCAGGGGGTTGGACTAGATGACCTCTGGAGGTCCTGTCCAGCCCTACTTTTCTATGACTATGATTCTCTGTTAAAGACAGTGATAGGTCATGCTGTTTAGTTATTAACAATAAAAATTATTCCAGCTCATTATCACTTGCTAGAGTGTCAGCAAAGTTTGGCCAGTTATTTCTGTGATCTTTAGCACTCTGAGGACAGGAGCTGCTCATCCCCTTTTAAAAATCACTTTAATATCACATTTTTTAACCAAGCCATTTTAAGAAAGCTTTGGAGGATTGTTACAAGGGAAGGCCTTATATGCAGAAGTAGGGCCAGTGCAGAGGAAGGACTAAAAGCACCCAGGTACTACCATTTATATGAAAAGAAACAAAATTTCATCCCATGGGACTACCTCACCAACCTTTGTAAGTCTCCCCAAAGTCTTCCTGGGCCCTCCCTAGGACCTTTCCGGTAATCATCAGAAATCCGCTTAAGCCTCATTGGTTCATCTCCCTGAGAAAATAAACCCAGGTCCTTTTTCTTTGTAGGTCTTTTCCAGTCCTGCTTTTCCCCAGTAGGAGCTGTCCATTGCTCACACCTTTTTTCCTGATCAAAAATACCATGTCTAACTGTCTTTTGCCTTTTCCTCCTCCCTTCTGCAAAGTTTATATCCAATTCTTTAAGGGTCAGGAGGACTTCTGCCACCAGAGGTCAGAGTGTTAAAGGGTACTTCTTTTTTCTTCTGTCATGTAAAGGAGCACTTCATGGCCTTCATGTATCTCACCACTTTTGCTTGTATCTGCATCTATTTTTCTAGAGAAAAAATCTGTATCATGTGTTTCTTCTCTACTTCATGCTCCATGAAGAAATTTGAAGGTTTTCAACTTGGATATCATTGGGTAGATCTAGCATTACTTGGTTTTATTTGGTGTAGCCATTTTAAAGTGGTGTGACTGGGGACCACCACAAGGTGGTTGCGTAGTATATAGTATCACAACTTTTTCATTGCCCATTTCATAGCTAGACCTTCTTTTTTTTGTTCCATATTGTTCCATATGCTTTGTTGGGTTTTTGTTGTTGTTGTTGTAAGTTTTTTTCTGAAATACACAACAGAATGCTCCATTCTTCCCTCTTCTTGTAGCAGGACATGACTAATAGGCTATACCTGTTTACATTACCGACAGGCTCAAAAAACCCACAGCCTTCACCACAGACTGGGTACATAATACATCTTTAACTTTTTTAAGGTCTTGGTCACACTATTATGTCCAGGGGACCTCCTGGGGTACTTGTACATGTGACAATGTCACGATGTACATGTGATGAAAATGTGGCTTAATGGCATCACACATTACATGTGTGCGAGTTTTGGTCGTTTTAGATGAGTTTGCATCATTGCAAACTAAACTACATTGGGATGTAGTTAAGTGTGCAATGAGTTACAGCTATTAGATTTTCCTCTGGCCATGGGAGAGGCAGGAAGGCTCCACAGAAAAAAAGGATAAGGCCTCTCACTGCATCTGCCTTCAATAGGTGTCTGCTGAAGGCAGAAGCAGCAAGGGGCCTGATCCCTTTTTCTTTTTTTCAGCAGAACCTGCCCACAGCCATGGGTTGAGCTGCCAATGGGCCGAGCAGCTGCTGATCTGTGGGGGGGCCCTGGTCCTTCCCTCTATAGTGGTGGTGCCCCCTGGAGATCTCCTGCACCACCCATATCATGGTTTTCCTGAAGAGGCAGAGGACTTGAAGTTGCTAAAACTGCCCTCTTCCAGGGCCCAGTCAAATCTTCACAGTTGTCTAGCCAGGTATTTCACTTCCTCATACCTTTACCAGAACTCATCCTCCTTTGGCTGTTCAGTCTCTGGATATGAGCTCATCCAGGTCCAAGTCCCCTTCCTGTTCTCTCCTTTCCAGCTCAGCTGCCCATCAACCTCACCCTTCCTCGTTCCCCTAAGCTGTCCTTCATTTGATCAGGCTTTTTCCCAGGTGAAATCATATTTATTTTTGCCATCTATCTGAGCAACTTCCTTTTGTAACTCTGTGGAGCTGGCAGATTCTCCTGGACTCTGCCCTAGCCCCCTTGAATGATAGCCAGTCTCTCTCTATTCATACAGGGTAAAATAGATTATCTGCAAAACATACAAGTAGTGAACAGGTTTACATATTACTGCATATTTACATTGCAGTAATATGTAATATGCAGTAATATCCTTTATCTGTGGATAAATGCTTATCTCCCTTTTGAAGCAAAATAATATATGGGAATCCACACATTTCTTCTCCCCTAGGAGCTCTACACTATTGATTTAGTACATTTTCCAAGTTAAAAGCCTCATTCTGCTATAATTAAAATTAATGGCAAAATTGAGCAGCACCATAATGAGGCAAATTGAATATAAAAGTATTTTTAAAACCAAACCAGTATAATCCATAGCCATCTCTTAGTGAGTATTTTTGGTCTATATTTTCTGCATATAGATGTGCAACTGTACAGCTCATGAAGCAAGTAATGAGGGCAGCCACTGCATGTAACAATAAAGCAAATTTATTCAAAATGTATTTAGCTGATGATTATTTTAAACATGTATTTGTTTATTGAGTTTGGTTGGATATTGAAATCATTTAGAAGGCTTTTGTAAGGTTTTGTATTGCTACAAGAATTTCAGTGTAAATAAAGATGGTCAAATTTAACAAAGCTACCTACATTTTTGTAAGTATGTGTGAATAAATATGTATTCCTTAAGAAGTGTGTTTGTGCCCAAAAGCTTGCAAAGAACAATTTTCCCAACTATTTAGTTGGTCTAATAAAAGATATCACATTTACCCAAAGAACCTTGTCTGCCTATTAAATATATATGAATATGTGTATGCATGATTATTCATACACGTATATATGCAATGAAAAGATCCCTTAACAAGATAAGGCTGAGAGGGGACCTGGCGGCCATCTATAAACTTACTGCGGGGGGCGGAGGGAACCAGCAGGGAATGGTAGAGACCCTGTTCCCCTGAGCACCTCCCAGAGTAACAAGGAATAATGGCCATAAGTTGTTTGACAGTAGGTTCAGGCTGGACATTAAAAGGCACTACTTCACAGTCAGGGTGGCTAGGATCTGGAACCAACTTCCAAGGGAAGTGACGCTGGCTCCCACCTTGGGGGTCTTTAAGAGGAGGCTAGATAATCACCTAGCTGGGATTACATGAGCCCAGTATTCACTCCTGCCCAAGGCAGGGGGTCGAACTTGATGTTCTACTTAGGTCCCTTCCGACCCTACATCTATGAAACCATGAAACTTTCTGAAAACAAGACTATCATATTGCTAAAATTTATCTCCTGGACAACCAAAGTAAATGATATTCTGCATGATCGTGGATGCACACTATACTCATTACCCTTGTGAGCAGTCAACTTGTACAAAAAAAAAAGAACTGCAGGGGAGTAGAGCTCAGGGATGACAAAATGTGAATAAGCTCATAACTGAAAACATTCCAATTAGATATTGGAAAGTGTTCCCACATATTAAGCCTTCTCTAGCTAATTTTAATATGTAATATATTTTAAAACCAATCCAACTTCTCGATTTATCCTTCTAAATCATATCTACTTATCACAAATATTCTCTGTCACTTTATGGCTAAGAATCTGTTCTTTTTTGACATTCTTCTATCCTAATCTTTACACAGGATTTTTCAAAAATTAGACAGTCTATTAGTTAAAAAAATGAAATGTCACATCTTTAATACTGTCCTTGCCATGAATGTAGGATGAACATGCATTTTGTCAAAGTAAACAGATACATTTACTTTTATTACAAAATGCAACCTTTGCATTTCCCAATCCTTTGTATATGTAAAACTCATGCAGCATTTAAAGAATGTTGAACTAAGCAGCACATAAAGCATCTACAAAAAGACAATCTCACCTTAAACAGTGATAAAATTAGTACCTGTATGTTTTTGGGAAAATATTTTAAAAATGGGAACATTTTATTTACTGTAGTTCAAAATATTACTATATAGCTTTTCAGGGGGTGAAATTTTCCTATTTAGCCTTTACTTGGAAGAAATAAAAAATGCTACCATATGAAAAACTTGTATATAGTCTAAGTAGAAGTATTAATAAGCTTCTACAAATTCACTATCAGAATAAGAAGCTAAGCCTGCTTACTATAAAACCTAGCATAAAACTAGAAGCTAAACTGCTAATCCAATTTTAGATGCACATCACACAGTATTGCATTGAAGTGAAAATATGATCGAGAAAAGCATGCAGCTTTTCAAATCCAGGAAATACCTCTCATTATTCTGCTGCCTTTGCTAAAATTTGATTTGACTGTTTTCAGAGCACTTCACTTTCTGCAGAATTCATTATTATGATTATTGTATGGGAGACAGATAGTCACAATAACTTTTACATGTGACTACATTTGGCTTCAACTGTAGTCTTGATCTGATCATTTAAATTAAAAGGCCAAAATTTAATCTTCTTAACACTGCTTAAAATGTTGAAACTATTCATGCTAAGATTCGGTAGGAATGCCAGATTACTTTAATGCTGGATACACTTAAACGGTTTTGCTAAACTACTTACAACAAAATTTAAGATTATAAGTTACTAGATACACATACAGCTGAAAAAAGTTATCCACTATAAAATTTATGGGGTTTTTTTTTAGATACACTTCTCATACATAGAATTATTTCCTGAAACTAATTCTTGAATTACTTCTTTCACACAGCTACAATGAGGACTGTGTAATTATATTTACCAGCCAATGCAACCTAGGAACACAATTCCGATCTTTCTTTTTGCTGAGTTTGTTGATTATGGCATCAAATGGAGCTGTCACTTTGACTCCAAATTTCTGTTTTTCCAAATTATTATAGAAATAGTAGTCTAGCACAACATTAAAGTGCACAGGAAATTCAGATTTAAAACCAAAACACCTTTGTCTGTGTAATGTCGCTCGCTCTTTATGGGAAATTATTCTATGTATAATAGATTTCTGTTATGACATAGAAAAGATGAATTAATGATAATTATTCAATGATTCACTATTTGGAGCATGAATGTGTCTTCCTACAGGTTTGTAAAGATTCATTATTTCAGTGATATTGTGAAATAATGATTCTTGTGAATTATCTCAACCAAATGGATTAGTCCCTTTTATTAGCTGACAAGATGTACAATAGTTTCTTTCTTTTAAACTATGCTGTAGGTATACTTTTATTTCTTTTTTATACCCCACAACAAAAATTTAATATTGTCCCAGTATATATGTAGAAAAACTAATATTTTCCGAAGATTGCTTGCATTAAATGCTACAAAGCACAGTCTAAGGCTGAGCTATAAAGAGGATTACTCCAGGTACCACGTAATAAATAACTATTTTATTTGCAATAGAGGAACAGGCAAACTTAGAAGGAAGGGTTTCAAGTCCTTTCACTTCAAAAGACATCACCACCACCATGATTGCCATGATCTGGAATTCTTATACCCTTCAATTAGTCAGCAATTTTATTACCAACTTACATGCAAAGGAAGTTAACAAGCAGGTCCCTCTTATAAAATGTCCATGCACGTGCATATAGAGTTTAAATCCCAGTTTTGAAGAAACCTGTATTTTTAGAGCTTACCAGAGATGACCCCTGCTGTCAAGGTGGCAGCAAATGGTGTCTGCCTTTTACTCACTTTGGCAAGAAAACTAAACAGTAAACCATCTCGTGCCATGGCAAACAGAATTCGGGGTAAAGGGAACATAGAGCCGAGAAGACTAGAACAGAAAAATTTATAGTTCAAATACAAGTTAGGAAAAATACTGTGCTCTACTGGCAAACTCAACTTAATGAAAGGAAAGCTTGAAAATGTTTATTGTTTAGATTTTGTTTTTTAAATGTCTGCTTTGGATTAACCAAAAATACAAAAATCTCTGGGAGAAAAATTTCACCAAAAGGTCATGTTACCTGGAAACAATAATATATCATCATCTCAGTCAAAAGCAAAGCAAACTTGCCCAATAGTTTTATTTATACACATGTCATATGTGAAGTAATGCACCTTTCCTTACAATAATCAACTCTCAGTCTCACCTGCTACTGCACCCGATGATAAAGTAGCAATTAATGGGGTCTTCGTTTTGGAATGGATTTGAGCTAGACATTTGAAAAGCAACCCATCATCTGCCATAGCATAGATTACACGTGGCATTGGGAAAATGGATCCAAGAAGACTGAGTAAAAAGCAAACACATGCAACATGGCAAACACAATTCATGCAAGATTGTATCACAGAAAAGAGAAACAACGCTAATTAAAGTCACTGAAAACAAGTCACAATTAAAAAAAAATACTGTAGCCGAAGATACTGCAGGTGGGGCACAAACAAATTTGTTTTCGTAAGCCACTGCAATTTCTGGTCCCTTTTTTTGATTATGTTATTGTTTATTTGGAAACAATAGTTCAATAACTGAATAACTTTTGCCTTCATTGTAGTTCTTAGGTACTAGTGGACCAGGGTAATGGTTCTGGTAGCAACAGCTATGCAATTAAGCTTTGTTTTCCCTTGGAAGAGTCTGATAGTCTGCAGCAGTAAATCAACAAGCATTAGCACTTCACATTCTGTAGCCGGTTACAAGAGTGTTAATCAATAATACCTCAAAGTAAAGACCACACACTTTATATATAGGCAAATTACCCTTTTCAATTTAAGCATCTCTAGTCAAACGCCATTAATATGACTTATTTTATTCAGAAGGTGAAGTTAAGCTTCCTATTTTAAACTGCTGATAATTTCAGCACTTGGAAAGATTTTGAAACAACTGTGAACTCAAAGCTTTCATTTAAAAACATCAAAAATCATCTTGTTTCTTCCCTCCATAGCAAAACTAGGAAAATAGCAAAAACAAAGAAAATTCCACCTATTTTAGCCCTGGTAACAACCATACAACTTGTTAACCAGCTAAAATAAAGGTTGTATGGTTGCTCTTTTTTGCTCCACGGAGCTAAATACATCACTTACATATTCTCAATATGAATCTAGAATTTATGAATCACAGAAGTTAAGCAGCTTTGGCATTGCTGGTGAAATGCATGCATTAAAGTTAAATGTCCATGCAGAACTCACAGTCATTTATGTATTAACTGCTTTTCGTGCTGATTCGGTACTTAAATGCACGTGTAAGTATGTCTTTAAGCAACTTTTCCCAAAAAGGATACTTTTCTGAATCAAAGCCAGGAAATCTGAATTTAGTTTTAAACTTATATTTTTGATATTGATATTACTAAAACACCTATATATTTTTACTATTTTGTTTTTGGATAAGTTATTTTTGCTGTTTCTCACCTTCAAGTATATTCTGCAAAGTAATGGAACTATATGACTATGTAAAAGCATCAATGTCTGAGGCAAGAGGTAAGCGTTCAGTTCAGAAAACACAAAAGCAGTGTTTTCACCTTTTCAGTGTACTATGCTCCCAAGTTCAGGAATAAGAGTAGATTTTTAAAAAATAGCAGACAGAGTGAAAGCTGACCTCTCTGAATAAAGTATTAAAAGTTTTTAAATATTTTGAAAGAAAAATTACACAATTAATATTTAAAATCTGTTAACCAATGTTTTAGTTTCTAGAAATAGTTTATTCTCCATGACTGCTTTATTGATCTAGTTTCTATTTGAACGTTCACTTTTCATTTTTATGGAATATGAGACAGACATATCATAAAAATCCTAAAATTGCTGGAGTCTGTATCAGGCAGCTTTGTAGAAAATAATTATAGTCCCCATACTAACTGTACAAACAGAGTTTACTCTGTGTGCAGGTGTAAAGTTCTTTCAACTTACAGTTCTATCACAATTTTCTTTTTTACATTCCAGTCTTTTACCAAATCATTGTTAAATTAAATATGCTTATCTTTAATATTCATAGGTTTGCTGAGTATCAACAATGTTCTTTCTTAAATTGGAATTCCTGCTGCCTTTGTAGGTCAGACAGCCATTAAGCCCATATACTCTATATCTCTGGAGTCAACTTAAATCATTTTAATAATGTATTTGAGCTCAATTGGTGGAGGAGAAGAACACTGAAGCTGTTCCTACCTTCAAATATCAGTATTATTCCACTATACTTCCTATACCCCAGTACACTTGGTCTATATAATGTATAAGACAGGGGTGCTCAAGCTGTAACCCGTGGGCCAGATGCATCCCATGGAGCCATGGCATTTGGCTAGCGCAGCTCCCCACAGGTTGGGAAATTTGGTGATGGGGAGCTGTGGCTATTAATACTACCACTCCTTCCTGCTTCCAAATTCCCAAGCCCCATGAGGTAGATGGGAGCCATGCCGTGGCCTCATCCCTCTGCACAGACAGGTTGGAGCCCTCTTCTCCCAATGGGACATATCCCCTCCCCCTGTGCAGCTGGATTGGTACTGGATCATGCCCCCTTCCCCTCGCATGGCCGGATTGAGGCCCTCTTCCTCTGTGTGGCTGGTTCATGGCCAGGCAATGTCCCTTTCCTCTTGCTAGGCTGGGTCATGCACCCTCCCTGCACAGATGGATTGGGCCAGGTCATACCCCTTCCTCCCCCTCTCTGTGGGGCTGTGCCAAGCTCCCTTCCCCTTCACAGCTGGATCAGGACAGGGCTGCCCCTGCACCTCCTTCCATGTGGCCAGATGACGCCCCACTGCATCTTCCCTGGCTGCCATATAGCAACCACTGGCCACATCCAGCCCACAGACAGACCACGCACTGTCCATCCAGCCCACTGAGCAAAAAGGTTGAGCACCACTGGTACAGGAAGATGCACATACTGCACATATAATATATTTAACAACCTATAAAACGTTATTAATTAAAATAATAAATTTGGCCACTCATATTAAAGTTAACTTTATAAATAGTTTATAAAGATTTAATTAATAGGTGTTTTAATGAATTGATAACAAAGTCCAACAGGACCATATTTATAACTATGTTATATCTATGACACCTATGGTTTTTTTAATAATAATAACATAATATTAATATCTGAAACATTTTTAAGTATTGACCCTTTATAAAATCATACCTTAATATAAAAGTGACCATCTATTTAAAATATTACAGTAATCACCAACTGTATTTTCCAATATGTCCTTTATTTTCTTTACCTTGTGGATAAAGCGCAGAGGGATCCCACAGCCACAACATACTTTGCAGGATCCCATCCAACATATTCAAATGCTACAGGGAGGGGACTAGTCTCATCTAGAAGGTAGTATGGCATCATAAGAGTCAAAGCAGCTGACACGCCAAAATAGGCCATAAAACAGACCAGAAGGGAAATCACAATTCCAATAGGTATGGCTTTCTGAGGATTTCTGACCTCTTCCCCTGGGGAGGAAAAACAAACACTCTAATTAATCTAGAAAATATTTTAATCTTCTAATA